TGTCAGTGAGACTGTTCTATTTTGCATATTGTTTGAACTAAGGGTTCTTGGAAAAAGAGAAATTGTCGCTGTGACCCAGGTGAGACATTGAGGCTCTTGGTATGAGCCTAGCAGTTCTGACATCTCCGCTGACAGAGGCACGGGCACCCCACGGCAGAAGGCGCTCCTCAGGTGTCTCTCCAGTAACCGGATGGAAGACTGGGGAAAGATGGAGTGTGGGATGAAGAGCACTTTTAAAAAGCTGGCCATGGAGTTCACAGACTCTTGTCAGAAAATGAAGTTGGTGATGTCAGCAGAGTTGGCCCACTTGTAAATGACAGCCTGGGAAATCAGGAGATCACACATCATCTGGATTAGCAGAGTAAAAGTCACACTAGATATTTCAGCAGAGAATTAACAAAGGAATTGGTTAAACAGGTATTCAGAAATGGCAGGAAACAGTTTAAAAGCTTGTGCGGTTACCCCGGGACCAGAAGAGCCTGATACTGTTAGCAACTGTTAGACATTTAGAGCTGGGGCTGTACAGAGTGCATCAGAGACCATAGCCTGGTGTCCCTCAGCTCATGCTGGCAGATGGATGCCAGCAGCTCAGGAGGTGAAGGGAGGGCGGTATGCTGCGCACCAGGGTTGTTCCTGGAGGCTGGGGAGCCTGGAGACAGCTGCCACGGGAGTGTGTAGCTGAGAGGAGCTGCTGCGCAGAGCAGGGAGCACACCCCTCTTCCTTCTCTAGCTCCTCTGGGCCATCTGGGACACTTCAGTATATCCCTGTGCTGGGAGCCTCACAGGAAACCTGCGGGCCGAGAGGAAGAGCCAAGAGCAGTAGAGCCTGGCTAGCACATGGCAGGTCATTGGGGAACTAAGTAGCTGTTGTGTCATCTTGCTAAGGTTTCTCATTGTTACAGGATAAGTTGATGTAAATTGGCCCAGATTCATATTGAATGTCTGTCTGACACCTCATGTATTTGAAATAAGAATTTCAGACGTCACCTTTTTTTTTAAAGATTTATTTTTATTATTTTTTCATTGGAAAGGCAGATATACAGAGAGGAGAGACAGAGAGGAAGATCTTCCATCCAATGATTCACTCCCCAAGTGAGCGCAACAGCTGATGCTTTGCCGATCCGAAGCCAGGAGCCTCTTCTGGGTCTCCCACGCGGGTGCAGGGTCCCAAAGTTTTGGGCCGTCCTCGACTGCTTTCCCGGGCCACAGGCAGGGAGCTGGATGGGAAGCGGGGCTGCCGGGATTAGAACCGGCGCCTGTATGGCATCCTGGGCGTGCAAGGCGAGGACCTTAACCACTTGCGCCACCTTGCCGGGCCCCCAGACGTCACTTTCTAAGATAGAACATTGATTCCCTTCCTCTCAGCTGTTAGCAGTCGGTTAATTAGAGCTAGCCTGAGGTCCGTGTGGTTCTTTAGTGTCTGTCCCTTTCACACCGCCCCCATCCCATTCACCTGCTGGGTTTGTCTAGTCGGCTGAACGCTGTTCCTCTCTTGGAAGCCCTTTAGTTTAAGTCTGTTGAATTCCTTGTCAGACTTTTGCTTGCCAAATTGACACAACAGTGAGAGTAATGGGTTGATATTATAATTGTTTATAAAAATATGGTCACTTTTTGTTGTTACTTTCTCTCAGTTTTTTCAACTGTTACTCTCTAAATATGTTTGTCATGTATTTCTATTTGGAAAATCTGTTCTCTTGTTTCAGATTAGTATAAACAGTTGTGAAAGTCCTATTTTTTATTTGAGGGACAGAAAGAGTTCCCATCTTCTGGGGCAGGCCCAAGCTGGGCACCAGTAGCTCATTCCAGCCTGAGCCCTCACGTGCCAACCCTGTGGTCTGTGTTGGCAGGAAGCTGAGTCCGGGAGCCCGAGCTGCAGCACAGGTATTCAGTTGGAGGGAGAGGACGTCTGAACTGCTGACTTAACCTCTAGTTCAAACACCTACACCATTTTGTTATGTGGGTTTCTGCTTTTCCTTTGTCTTTAATATAAGGGAAATGATCAAATTCACTTTTGCAAGTCTTTAGGAGTTACAGTGAAGGCTGGTTAGTTTATGGATATCAGCCATGAGAACTTTTTTCGTGAATACCAAAAATAGAGAGGATGAGGGCCCAGCACGGTAGCTTAGTGGCTACGGTTCTCACTTTGCATGTGCCAGGATCCCATGTGGGCACCAGTTCCTGTCCTGGCAGCTCTACTTCCCATGCAGCTCCCTGCTTGTGGCCTGGGAAAGCAGTCAAGCATGCCCCAAGGTCTTCGAACCCTGCACCAGGCGTGGAAGACTCCAGGCTCGTGGCTTTGGATCACCTCAACTCCAGCCATTGTGGCCACTTGGGGAGTGAATCAGCAGACGGAAGATCTTCCTATCTGTCTCTCCTCCTCTTTGTATATATGACTTTCCAATAAAAGAGTAAATTACTTTGAAATTATATGGAGAATGAGGTATAGCACGTGGTATATGATAGAATGTCCACACAATAAGGGACTTGGATTTATGAAAGTAATGCCATCTTGTGTGGCATTGACTTGGAACTGCATTGTGGGAAAGGAAAAATGAGATTCCTCAAAGAGAAACACAAAGGGCTTCTAGGCAAGGGGCTGTGACAAAATGTTGATTCTTACGGGACGTTGGTGAATAAGAGTCCTTCAGTGTTGTGAACACAAGGATGAGGAGCCAGTGTCATTGGCAGTTCAAGTCGTGTTTTAGCTGATACAGTGTTGGTGATTTGGAAACAACATTCATAGATTTGCTTTTGTTAGAGCTTTGTAGTAATGTAGTAAATAGATTCTGTAAGTGATTGGAAAGGCATAGAGGAAAGATAGAGAAAGATCTTTGATCTACTGGTTTGCTCTCCCAGTGACAAAGTTTGCTCTGCAGTGACAAAGGCTGAGCCAGGAGCCAGGGACTTCTTGCAGGTCTCCCGTGTGAGTGACATGCCCAAGGGTTTGGGCGGTGTTCTGCTGCTCTCCCAGGTGCAGTACATGGAGCTGGGTCAGAACTGGAGCAGCTGGAACGCAAACCAGTGCCATGTGGACCCAGTGCTACAGCAGCGGGTTACCTCATTGTGCCACAGAACCAGCCCCAAATGGTTGCCATTTTTAAAGACTATGAATTCCATTATAGTAAGAAAATGAAATTTTATTTAGTACTATTTAAATTTCTTGATGAATTCAAAACATGCTTCTGCTTAAAGTCATCACATCATTGGACAGAGTGTTTTGTGAAGTTCATGAGGTCTGTGAATCAAGTACTATGCTTTGGTTTGACCTTGTGCAGCTTTTGGTCACTGCCCTTATTCATTCAAGCTTCAGGGCTAATACAGTTGCTTTTGACACACATTGTGGTGAAGCATAACTGCTTAGATGATGATTAATATCTAGTATTAATTAACCAAAATAGTGTACACTTTATTCTATTTGAGAATGCCTTGTTTTTTTTAGTAGTGTTGTATGTGATCTGTTCGTGTAAATAGCTGTTGGCATTAACTGAGAACGTACCTTTTTCTTACTATACTATGTGTGCATAAACTAAAGTATTAATACCTACTCCTGAGTCTGTTATCCATATTGGCAGAAGGACCCCCAACTTTCAGAAAAATGTTTACAGTTTACTCCACTTGTGTGAATTGTTTGTTTCTGATGTATTATTTTGAGTGTACCCTTTCCCCATTGAGCCTGTTTCTACCAATCTGAAAAATTACATAATTCTCAAGATACTTCTTTGATGCCACATGTTTTAGTCATTTGATGCTTCAAAAGTGAAGATACAATGCTTAATTCAAACCTAGCTCTTCCCATGCGGACATCAGGAGCGAAGCTTGTTCCGAAGGTGCAGCCACTCTTACTAAGGCTCTATTCAGGCTAAATGAAATCTGGCATGATATTTTTTATAGTGACTTCATTTACAATATTCCAGACACACTAAATATATTTTCTTTGCGACTTATTAAAAGCCCATTCCAGAGTTTTGTTTACTACAAATCACACATACCATTTGCTGCTCTAGTGCCAGGGAGGACATTCATTTGTAATAGAAAAGGAAATTTAGTATCTTGTCACCTATCCCCTTCTGTCCCTTTGAATCAGGGAGGAACAAAATTGTTAGAAAAATGTATCACTTATTACATGGTTTTAAATATTATGTCCCCAAAACTAGATAATGCATATCAGTAGCAGCTCCACGTCACTGTCCAGATAGCTTGGACAGGTGGACCTTTGTCTGCTGTTGTTTCTGACTGACTACAGCTTATTCTTCAAGATTGGAAGTGCAGAGCAGTGTCTGGGCTTGGTTTACGACAGTAGCTGTGTGCGTAAGGTAGTAGGGAATTAAATGGCTTAACTTGAGAAAGGTAGTTAGGCTCTAGATCATCTTCAGTGACCTAACTTTATATTTTTAGATAGCAAGTTACCATTTAAGGATAATGAGGTATTGAATATTGAGGCTGTTAAGGAGGATGTTGTGTTTTGATCAGTTATATGGGCTGTGCACGTTCGTTGGAAGACAGATACCATTAATGGAAGAGTCTAATGGGTTTGGTATTGTATCAATAATAACTAGAACAAAGATGAACAAAAGTAAGTGGAAAGAGAATGCCAAAATCAAGTTAACATAGGGTGGCCAAATATTCAGTGATCAGAGTGACCCTGCAGTGTGACCGATCTTATAGCTCTGTGCTTTGGAACACTGAGCCGAACAAGAGGTGCTGAAGAGAAGATGCTATGTTTAATTTTACTTAACATTTAACTTCCACTTGAAAGTGAAGTTTTTTGAGGAACTTTTAATAAGTCAGTAGGACCTACCTGAAACTTTTCAAGTAGCTACATAAGCAGTGGTGGTGGAGACTGCCATACACCGCATGCCCTTTGGTGTTGTCAGCACCTTTCCTGGTTGAAGCAGATGGCTGTAGTCACGTGATATCTGTTTTAAGTCTGTGTGTAGATATAGCCGTGGTGTCTGTAAACAGTCCTAAACTCCAGTGGTTTTATGTTTTTCCATGTGTAGGCGGAAGGAGAAGACAGCCTGAAGAAGATGCAGCTGATGGAGCTCGCGATTCTGAATGGCACCTACAGAGATGCCAACATTAAATCACGTAAGGCTGAACCCGAGGCCGGGCTTAGGGCAGTCACTGCCGGGCAGTAGGAGGGGCAGTGAATGCTGTGTGCACAATCCTCGGTCTAATACTTCGAAGAACTGAGGGTATTCTTGATTTTGGTTTATTTGTCTAAGAACTCTGTTTTTATTTGTAGTTTTTGTGATGTGTCACGCTCTCAATGTAAGAGTTTCACATAAGTTTTTATTCTGCCTAGATTTCTTACTGTTATTCAAAAGACATATTTTTTAAAACGTGAAAAATTTTTTAGTAGACTAAATTTTTATGGGGTGCCATGTGATGTTTTCGTACATGTATATGTTTTGTATATAACATCAAGTCAGGGTAAACATATCGGCTTACCGTAGTCATTGTCATTTGTTTATGGTGATGACTTGGTTTTAAAAGTGTACCTGTGAAATTCTTTGGTTTGAACCTCATTTGCTTGCTTGTTCTCATGCCAGTGTTTCTCTGTTGCTTTCATACGCAGAGTTCACAGGAGCCGGCTGGCAGTAACTGTACTCAGTGTACTTTCCCTGTCTATATCTTCTTTGTATAAGGCGTGGAAGATTTCCTTTCGGCTTTTTTGTTTTGTTTTGTTTTTTGCTTTCAATGGAATAGCATGAAATTTATACTTTCAGATGGTCCAATAATGTTTACATATGTCATTTATGAATGTAACATTTAAATTGCCACACTTCTTAATAAAATTTTGAAGTCATTGAAAATTTTCCAAAATCAAAGCAACCTAGTGGATTTAGAAGTAGTTACTTAGGAGGTAACTGACTAATTTACTCATGAGGATGTGAGTGTGTTATTTGTAGTCATAGAAAATGTGTGTTATTAAGTCAGTACACACATGGATTTCAAATTTCTTGCAAATTTCTTTTCATTCTTTATCCATGAACTTTTTTCTTTTTTATATCATTAATTCTGAATTCATAAATAGTTATTCCCTAAGATGGAGGAATTTATTTGTAACACTCATTTTTTAAAGTGAAACTGAAACAGGGTTTTAGAAATGTGCCTCTGTGGACTCTGGTTACAAATGTTGTTCTAACGGTTCTATGCGGTGTTCCCGGGTTCTGCATGCGCCTCTGGTCCTGACATTTTATAGGCAGATAAATATAACCTGTTTTAATGGTGTCTTTTTGTTTTTGCAGTGGCTTCTTAATCTGTGCACATTTGTTAATCACATTGGGAAGGGGAAAGCTGTTTGCTTTGACATTTCTGTGTGATTGGCGCATGTACTAATGATTTCCTTTTATTTTTCTTCTTTCCTGCCTTTTTCCTTTCTTTTTCCTGCTCCCTTCTTATTTTCCCATGTTTTATATTGCTGTCTCTCTACTTCCTTCTGAATTTCTTTGCTTACTGTAGCAGCCCTTGCCTTTTCTCTTGCAGCAACAGCCCAGGCTGCCCCACGGATCATTACCGGGCCTGCGCCTGTTCTTCCACCAGCTGCCCTGCGCACTCCTACGCCAGCTGGCCCTACCATAATGCCTTTGATCAGACAAATACAGACCGCTGTCATGCCAAACGGAACTCCTCACCCGACTGCTGCAATAGTCCCTCCAGGGCCTGAAGCTGGTTTAATCTACACACCCTACGAGTACCCCTACACGTTGGCACCAGCTACGTCAATCCTTGAGTATCCTATTGAACCTAGTGGGGTATTAGGTAAGTGCTTCTCCATGTATGGTGAACATTCTTTTTAATAACTTTTGCTGTCCCAGATTTTGAATTGATTACCAGTTTTAGACAGTCAAGGCAAATTTCCACTTAGGAAAGTCTGTATTTAATTTTGACTTTCATAAGGCTTTCCCTTTTAATTAATTGTACTTTAAACCTGTTTAGGTGCACTTATTAACTTAAATTCACTTTGGTTCGGTAAATTTGCTACATACACTTTCACATAGAAGGCATGTTTCACTTTTGACATCACGGAGGTAATTTTGAGTGTTAGGGTCTGCCTACTGGCCTGTCATCTCCATCACCTCCACTTCATGAAGCTAGATTTCTTTTGCTTTGCAAATTGTCAACTAAATTTGAAATTTTCATGTGTAATTATTTTAAGATGTTTATAATATTTATATTATTGTGTGTTTTTAAAGACTCGTAATCACTTAAAATAGCAGACCAGATAAAATTTTTCAATGTTTGTCATTTGAAGTTTTAGTTATAATTAGACATGGATTTCAGTAGTGAAGTATTTAATGGATGAGGTGATAAATACCAAGTCACTGAATTCAGGATCACACTTAGCCAGAAATTAAGATCGTGGTGTGAACGCTTGGTGTTACATGAAAAAAATGATGTTCTCGAAAAAGACATTATTGCTGCCTTTTTTTTATAGAGTGGATTGAAATGCCAGTCATGCCTGATATTTCAGCCCATTGACTTGCTGGATGGAGGAGTAGCGAACAGCAGCTGTTCCAACACGACCAGTCCATGTGGAACACACTGCTTCTGTGCAACCCCTTTGTTTTCCCACACAGAATTCAAATCCTTTTTTTTCCCTGAATTGTACATGACCTTGGTGCTGCATGCATGCTGTGCTGTGGACTTCTAGGACTTCGATGTTTTAAGGGATTTTTTTCCTCCAGCATTAATACTGATTTATAGAAATTTGAAAGTCTAATGAACCTGAACACTAAGAGTTAAACTCAAAAATGCATTGTTCAATTAAAGCAAGCTACAATGCTCTGTATGTTATCTGTGTGTGTGCATGCACTCAGGTGCCTTCTGTTTTATGAACAAATACGTTTTATTGTACATGTTTTCCGTTCATCTCTACATCTCTGTATGAAATAATCACAGGTCAGAATCATACCACAGAACTGCTGATGAAAGCCTTGTTTCTTTTGCATATTTCTCAAAGCATTTAAAAAATAACCTATAACCTGTAACCTCCAATTTCCTTTCTATTAATCTCTGTCCTGTGGCCCTGTGCATGCTTCCCCCCGAGAACTCCTGTGTGCTGCGCCCAGAGCATCTGTCGGAGGAGTTAGGGCTCGTGGCTCGCACGGGCCTGGGGCTCCCTCCCGCTGCTCCTAGTCTAGCACTGTCCATGTTGCCCTGTGCAGTTACAGTCCTGTGTGCCGAGCTTCTCCAGGAAAAGGGGGGATAGGCCAGTTACTGCTTAGAAGCAGCAAGAGGCACTGCTCTAGAGCTTCTCACCAGAAAACACTATTGTTTTCTTTGATGGGAAGTTTTTAGTCATAAAATCTGAATTATTAGACTGGCAGAATTAACCATAAAATACTATTTTCTAATTGGAATTTAGAAGATGAGTAATAATCAATACTAAGTGAAGTCTGTTATTATCAATTTTATTTCTTGCTTTGCAACCTAAGCAGTAAAACTTAACCATCTGAAGAACTGAGAGAATTCTCATAAATTGCTGTTACCATAAACTTGCACACAGATAACATGCATGCTGTAAATCAGCTCTCACATTAAATTATCTTAAATGCGCAGTGCCCTTCAAAACAATGCAGACATGTGTGTTGATGGTAGTGAGGAGATTGGTGTTAGCATCAAATCTTCATTGATGACTAATTTTTAATTCCCTTCCTTTTATCTTTAGGTATGGCTTTCCCAACGAAAGGCTAAGAATTCAAGAACGGTCTTAACTGAACCCTCATCAGATCTGAATTTAACAAATGCTTAGTCTCAGCAGCCTCCGGGGAAAAAGCTTAGCCTAGCAGTCAGTGACTTACTTGCACTTTTTGCACATAGATATAAAGTTTAAAAATTGTTATTAATTTGGTTTAGTCGGTCATATTACCCAGTAACAGTAATTTATAAAGGAGTGTATAGTAGTGTACTGACTGCTAAGTGTACTGTACTGTTTGCTTTACTAATCACCTAATTCATTGCAGTTCATTCTTATTGACTGAGTTTAAAACCACAAGCTGTAGGCTTTCAGGATTGCTTTGAAACCTTTTTAAGTGATAAACTCTGGAAGTGGGCTTAAGGTTAGCAAATAATTCTCAGTATGAAACATGGCATTATTGAAGTTGTCCTGTAAGCGAGGCACGTCAGTGAATATGTGACTAGTAAAGCTTCAGTGTGTTTGCATCTGACAGCTCATGAATACTGTGACCTGGGAACTGTAAATGAACAGATGAAATAGGTTAAGGGCAAGATGTTTAAAATAAATGCAATATTAATAGATGCATATATACATGACATGGTTAACTTTAAAACTACTGTGCCTTAGCATATTTCCTAAAGCAAATTTTTGTAGTAAATGACATTTGGAGTCCATTTTGATAAACCTGCTGTTAATGTTTCTTCCCTTGTGAATGTTTTCTAACTTTGTCTTGGTAATTGCGATTTAACTAGGTGCGGTGGCTACTAAAGTTCGAAGGCACGATATGCGTGTCCATCCTTACCCAAGGATTGTGACCGCAGACCGAGGTTAGTGTAGTAATGCACTTGTTGTCTGTAAGAAGTGCGCCGGGTGGCCGTGCACTTTGCAACACCACACCTGATGCGAGATGTAACTGCTTGCCTGCTTCCTGTTGCTTTTCCTTTTCTAAATTCATTTATAAGAATTGACAGATTGAGGGGTTTGGGGCTTTTGTTTGGTTTTATTTTGTTTCTCCCTTCATATTTTAACTTATTAAGTCTATGATTATGTACTATGGAATTTATTCCTCCTAAGACATACTTTAGTTAATTTCAGAAGCTATTACATTTTTATGTTGCCTTAACTATTTTTCAGTAACTTTTGCTAAAATTTACCTTTTAATTGTCTAAATTCTGGGTTGGTATTGCAAAATGAGTTGAACAGATGGTGCTTTAATGAGAGAAGTGAAGGACTCTATGCTTCCTGTGTACTTTTGGAGAAAACTGAAGATTTAGTTTCCATTTTTCTTTGTAATGAAATATTTGAGCCACTTTATAAACAAGAGGATGTACATGTCAAATGCCTAGCTAAAATTCACAAAGTAAGGACTGTGAAGATAGCTTTCATGTAGTTGGTTTTTTTATACATATACATATATATACACACACATATATATAAATTAGAACATCAGTTCCCTTTTATTCTTACATTTTCTTGCCAAAATGGATCCTTTGATTTTTTTTCATTTGCTGCTAAAATGTGATCTGAAGGTAAACCTATCCTGAAATTCTGTGGTATGTAAGATTCAGCTGTTTAAATAGCCTTTTTAACTCACCTGTGACTGGAAAGTAAGTCTTCATTTTTCTCCTTTTCAATATTTGTCATTTGTGTCATATATATATATACATATATATATATATATGTCCTTGGACCCTTATATACATTATTTATGCTTATTGAGGAGTGATTTTTTTTTTTTCGGTTTATTGACATTGGATTGTTTTCTTAAGTTTTTACCACAAGAGTCCAAAGCATTGTAGAAAAGAATGCTTTCCAGTTTTCTGTGATGGCACATTTGTCATCTACTAATTGAGTTGATCAAGTCTCTACAGGTAGTAGGGGAAGGAAGTGATGGGTTTGCACTGCAGTTATATGCCTTCTGAGACCCACCTACTTCACAGTTACTGCGCATGTTAGGTTGGACGCTGCTGCTGTCCACGTAAGGAGTGAGATACCTTTCCGTTGGTGAGGCGCATGTGGCTCACGCACCGTTTAAAGAGCCTGGAAGACTTTTAACTCTCATGTACATGAAACTTGGGGTGATCATTCAGTGAACAAAATGGACTCTCAGCTCAGTGATTGTTTAAAGTCAGACTCTTCGCAAGTCTTGTGGAGATGGAAAGTTGGCCTTTTTTTTTTTTTTTCTTTTAAAAGCACATTTAAGTGTGAAGAAATTGAATAGTCCCATGAATGAATTAAAGCTTCATTCTTATTGGTAATGCTAAATTAGTTGTAATGAGTACAATAAAATAGTTTTTCTACTCTTACGTTTTCCCTGGAATCCCCCCCCCCCCAGGAGGTTTTTCATTATTTTAACATGATAGTCACTGCAGTACTTAAATACTCTGATGCCTTGAGATAGGTGAAAATATTATAAGAGGAAGGTTTTATCATATTTGGAAAGTGACAACACATTCCATGCATGGCTCTTTTTTAATTAAATGTGTTTTAATTCTGTCGCTGTTTTTATTCAGAATGCAATGTCAGCAAACCGAAATGCTATTTTTTGAAATAGCAGAATCCTTATATACTTGCTCTCACTGTGTGCACTCACTGGGTCTAAGGGTGATGTCTGAACTCCTTAAATTATTTTATGATACTACTGTTTTCTCTATTTTTGAGGTTTTCTTAATTATTTAAAAAAAAAAAACTTTTGAAGAGATTACTATGACTATTCTCGTAATACAAGGGAACTCAGCGCTTGGATTTGTAACCATGTAATTCTATCTAAATGAACATTTAGAGTACTACATGGTGGGCAAATCTTTGGTTCTTTACTAAAAATCAACCCATCTTTATAAATAAGTATGTCAGACTGAATTTGAAGCCTTAGAGACCAACTGACTTTCTAGTTGTCATGCCCTGTCAGTGGTTTTGCACGGCTGCCACTCCTTTGTGTGCTGTGGGAAGCCACGGCTGGCAGAGGGCACGTTCGAGGTGCACTGTACCAGTGGCAGTTGCTTTGTTTCTATATTCCACACTTGAATAATGATTTTATAAAAACCATTGCTTACACGTAATTTGTATTAAAAGTTTAAACAATTATAATCAGAACTAATTAATATAAAATGCTTTAAGATTCCATATTCTGGAATACCTGTGAAATAATATGATTATATAAATACTTATTTTCTCCTTTGACTTTAAAATAGCAGTTTTATTTTAAACAAAATGTCCACTTCTTGAGAAATTCAGGGAAGATTTGGTCACATTGAAGATAGAATATTTTTATAGTATTTATAAACTATCCTGACTGTGGAAAACATTTTGTCATATGAAGGTAAATCAGTCCATTATATATATTATATCATTTAAACTCTGTGAGCATTATACCTACTGGTTTTTTTGGTTTGTGAAGTTAAAGAAAATCTGACTTTGCACTGAATAACTTTTGTTCACGTCTCCTCTGCCTTAAGTCACAAATGGCAACAGTACAAAAAAATTCTATCAAACCTCAGAATATAGTAGAAATAATTAAGCTGTTGAATGAGTCTTAAAAAAATCATACTACTGTTAAGTGGACCAAGTTGGACTAAGCAGAATGTGAGAGGTGTTGATTAGGGAAGGGACAACTCCAGGACGCTGGGAGGGGTAACTTTTCCACTTGAGAACTACTTTATGTTCTACTGTAATTTTTAAAAATTTTTTTTGTTACTTTGCAAAAGAAAATAGTATTTACAGGTGGCTTCTTTTAAAATATAAAAGTATAAAGCAGGAATGTATATGAAATGTCAGATTTTATTGTATTTGCAGAGTATTAGCTTTGAAGTTGAATAAAGAAAGCTGTTTGTAGTTTTAAAATGCCTTATTGGTATCAATTAGAAATTTCTTCTATTTTTTGATGTATCTAGAGCTTTTTGAGTATAGAATTTTAAATGGCAGGATTTTACAGTGTTTACATGCAAGTGCATTTTATAAGTGTTCTATATGTGTAAAATAGTCTTTTCAACTGGAAACTGTCGGCTGGTGCAGAGGCCTGGCCCTTTTCTGGTTCCCGTGATGTTGCCTATACTTCTAGACTACAGTTTAGTATTGCTTTGTATCATGAGGCCAAGAAATTCCATGTTGTTTGTAAATAGAATAATTGAAAAAGCAATAAACATTTATTGAACAAAAGAAACCTGTTTGGCCCAGAGTTTATGTTGATCCAAATTGTACATAGAAATTTAAATTCCATTAGATTCATTTCTGTTGATCATCAATTATTAATAATCACATCCATCATTAATAGTTGCTTAATGCTTGCATCTGAGAGAATACTAATGCTTAATAGCAGTCAGAGACACTGTTAACTGCACTGACTGTTTCAAATTCTGTATACCAAACCTATTCATTGTTGTTTTCTGGTTTCCTTCATTGACTGCTACTAACTATTAGTTGTTAGTTGTATTTTATTTCTATTTTTTTTCTGTTAACCAGTTTTTTTTTTTTTTTTTGTGGGAGTGGGCTCTTCATTTGTTCAAATCATGATACAAAATTGTCATGATTTTGATTGTATTCTGTAGATGGTGTCAATCAGTTTGTCAGAATTAAACATGCTTTTTTTATTAGTTGTGATTAGTTTTCATGTTGTCATTAAGCCGTCACTAGCTGAAACTAATCTCTTCTCTATCTTTTCTTTTCTTTTTTTTATTTTGTTTTTTGTTTCTAACCACCCAGCCGCCACCGGCAACTAACCTATGACCTTCTGACCTCTGAACTCTTCACCCAATGATGACCTGACCATGCCTGCCTGCTGATCAGTTAACTGGTAATCGCCTTTGCTTGCCTGTCGTCAGCGCAGCGAGCTGAGGCACTTGTCCGTTCGTCTTACCATCTAACCAAACAAAAGACAAAGAAATTGTTGTCCTCCAACTCAGCTTCTTTTCTTTTTCCCATTTGGGTGAACGTGGTTCTAGAAACTGCACTGAATAGTAGTAAAGCAATAAGGCCCAATTCATCCCACAGCACTGACCGTCTTTTAATGTCCCCCTCTGAGCGAACGGTAAGAAGGGGGGACAGCTGGCCCTTAACTACTCATTGACAGAGGCAGTTACTGTGAGACTTCTAGGAACCTTTCTCTTCTCATAGCAAAGTCAAAGCTCTCTGAATGTACTGTGTGATGATACATCATGCATGAACCTTCGGTCAGGGATGTCATTGGGGAATGACTTCAAAAAGTATTCGGAATCTGATACGCTGTTTGGTCACTACAGCGCCCTCACAGGGCGAGTGGCAGCCTTGTTACATTGCCTGCCAATATTTTGAAGTATTAGAAGAAAGTGTGCCATGAGAGGAAAGCATAACGAGGAGTTTGAAAATTAATGCAAAGTAAAAAATTGCAACACTATTTTTAAAAAGCTAAATATCTGAGTTAAAATGACGGAACCTTTATTTTACACCTCCGTTAAAAATACACGAGAACAAGGTACATGCATTATGTGTCACATTACTGGGCAAACTGTTCAAGTGTTTTTTTTAAACCTCCCTGTATAGAAAAAATCATTAAGGATGTAAAAGCCATGCTTGCCTACTTGCTGTATACATGTAATGAAATTGTAGATAAAGTGTAGTGCATTGAGACAAATGAACAAAAAGTAGATTCTTTTACTATACAAGGGTGCTGGTGCAGAAAAAAATATATATATTTTTGGAAATGTAGCATTTTATACTTTCAAGTGTTATAAAAAAAAAAAGAAAAAGAACAAAGAAACCCTTTATTTCATTAAATGATTTTTTCTGGTGGTTGTCAAGAAACAAAAGACCAAAAGAGCCTTTTTGTCTTTATTTTTATTTTTTAAGTATTGGAATAAGTCTAAAGAAAAGAAAGTGCCTTATTTTCCTTCATGGTCATTTAGTCAAGTGTCTCGTAAGGTCAGCTCCTCCCTCACAATAAGAGTTAATGCATGTTCCTCAGTCGCCCAGTATGTGAAAGATGAGAAGGGAGACAAATGAGTTGATGGTTTGATTTATGATTTTTGCCACATTAACTTGAAACAAATTTGCCAAATCTGATACTGTGAACAAAATTGATGATTTGTCCAAGTCTGATTTGCTACATTTTTGAAACATCATTTTTTTCAAAAATCATAATGGAGTACTTTTATTACAATCTCCAATGCATCCAGAGAATTCTGAGATTAAAATTTTGTGAGGTCCTCTGAGCATTAGTTTACAGACGACATCACAGCTGCGCTTCACTGGGAGTCGGGGAGACGGTGGGTTTTTTTCTCTCTTGCTAATTGGAGAGTATAGCAGTATGCCTAGCAAAACTTTTACCAAAATGAGTCTTAGTAATACTCATTCAGGAAAACAGCTTCTGAATGACCCAGTTCAATCATCCTCTGTCCACCAGCATCAGAGAACGTGTGCTGTACATCTCTGCTGGTTTGAATAACCTCCTCTAGCCGACACAACTTTTTGACCCCTCTGTTTTTTATCTTTAAAGTACTCGGAAAAAGCATCATTGTGGATATAAATGCTCAAGTGCACCTCCATTGCCATGAAGTTCAGTTCTGTACTAGGAGCACTTTGCACTTTGTGTGCAAAACTGTATCTTAACACTGAGTGAATCATTGTGACCTGCTCAGTACCAGACGTGGCAAATCTCCAGTGGCAGTGAACTTCAGCTGGTCAACTCGCTCCCTTCCCCACACTTCCCAGGCAAGGTCAGCACCTTCACGGTGACCTCCCCTTCATCGTGGCTCACTTGGAAACCCTTATCAGTTTATTTACTATGCAATAGACATTCATTGTTTTGTATTCCGCTAGCTTGGTTTAATGTGCCACTGCTTTGTCTTTCTGTTACACATACCATTGTTTGGATTTATTTACGATATATGCTGTGCCATTTTGGTTTTTATTTTGTTTGGTTGGTTGAATAAATTTGCGACACTCAAACACTTGAGGTGATAGTTTAGTTAAAAACGATACCAGTATTTGATCCAGTTTCATCTCAGCTGTGTTCAGCCTGGACATTTTAGATGTTCATCAAAGGTCTTCTCTAAGGAAGGAAGGAAGAAATGTGTGACATTTACAAGTAATGCTGGCTTGGAACAAACTTTTGAAAACTTAGTTGATAAATTTTGGATCAACTGAAAAAAAAGCATGACTTTTGAAATCTCTGAATGCCTTGGTTCTCAGTATTATCATTCTTTATTGAATTTATTTCTTATTAAAATATGTAGTTTTTAAGACTTTTTTTCTGACAGTATTATGTAATTGTTTAGTGCAGGTAGATGGGAGTGTCGCTTGTATGTTCCCATACAGCTGACGTGGATTTTTGTGTCTTCTTTATTATCCTAGTAGTTCATGCTGTGTATGTACCATAACCAACCTATTGCCTATGAGAAACATGTAAGATAATGTATTTACAGCCATTGTTACAAGTTTATAATGTATTTTTCTATCTTGTTTTATATGTATGTTATATAACATTCAAAAGAATTTTTTTCTTGATTGAGAAAAGGATACAAAATGCAAAATCCACAATTTTGATAACTGAAAATTGCCAATTGTTTTGCAGTACTTTATTATATTGGGTGTCTTGTCTTTTCTTGAGCTTTTAGTTAGCTAATGAATGAAAACATTAGACACTTTGGGTTTTAGTTGGGATTTTACATAGCTTGCCTTTTAATTCTTTGGTTCCTTGCTGTTTCTATTAACCCATAGCATTATTTTAATAAATGTTATAATACCAACCTACTAACTCTGGACTGTTTCTGTTTATTAACCTTTACATGTCTAATTAAACAAGCAAATGAAGACGAAAGATCCTGGACTAACCCTGGAGAGCACATGAGCACAGATAACATGCCGTCACGTGTCTGTTGTCTGTCGGCTGGCACCGTGTAGACTGCTGTCCAACAGCTCTGGGCTCCCGGCCTTTCCTGGGGGCGCAGGAGCTGGTGCAGACAGGAACGGAGCATCAGCTCCTAGTCTCCCGACTTGCCTTTCAGTGTCTGCATTGCTAATTCCACACTTCGTTTTCTGAAATAATCGTGATCTGCTCAGAGCATGAAGGTCAGAGAGATTCCTTGTAGTGATATTCCCTGAGAAACCAGTTTGATTCCTTGTTGGACCATTTATTTAATTCCTATAAATAGATAACTATGTCCACATCATGAAGAATCTTTTTATTTTATTTATTTTTATGCCAACTGGCAAGCTTGCGTAGCCAGGTGCTCATGGTGCTGGTCTTGCACCAGGGATGACGCCAAAGGCATAGGGTCTGTGCGTTAGGGCCTGGCACCGCGAGATCCCACCCCCTCCTGGGGTCACGTCGTGGACATTGTATTTTCTCAAGCATAAAATGACCCAATCGTGACCTGTAATTTAGCTCTCATTTCATTTCATATACTTTCATTTTTCAGGTTAGCCATTATCTTTTCTATGAAACAAACTTTTTACTATCTTTTGCCTAATACAAGTATTTTTTTTTTCAGAATGAATTTTAAATAATGGCTTACCAATATACACCAAGTTTTATTTAGAGTTTTAAAATTTAGGGCTGAAATGAGTTCCATGTAGTAATTGCTCTTGACCCAGTATGTTGTTACCCAGACTGCCTAGTACCCTCATATTTCATGAATATGCATGCACACACGACCCAGAATTGGAGTGACTGAATCGTTGTCTGGGGGTGTTCTCTGACAGGAGAGGTGGAGCAAGGCATTGTTAGGTCGACAGAATCTTGATGTGTTGCCATCTGTAGACGTTCCCATGCTGTAAGAACTTTTGTGTCCTGTGAAAATGTTATAGTATGCAAAGCTGCTAATACACAGGTTGTCATGTTCCCACGTCACTGAAGCAGATGAATGAGTGCCTGTGTAGTCGCCCCTTGTTGGAGCCTGTGAGTGTAGTATGCAGGGCACTGGATAGGTGCTTAGGTCACATTGTCACCTTTTACATTGCAAACATTGTAAAAAGACTGTTTTAAAAGCTGAAAATAACATTACAAACCCCATCGTTACACAAATTGCAATAGTACTCCTGGAATACTAAAATGCTATTGTTTGAACTTAATTGTTTTATGAATTACTTAATGAAACAACTTTCCTTTCTTGTTGAACAAAATGAAAAACCTAGCATGCAAATAGGAGTTCATCTGTGCCTTAGTGCAGCAGCTCCGTGTGTGGTTGGCTCCCCACAAAACACACATGCATACATACACAAAATCAAAAAGACTGGAATTTTCTGATGCACCATAAGCTGACGACGAGTTTAGAAGAAATTGCTCATTAGCAAATCAAGAATCATCACTAATGAAGCATGATGATATTATATGAAAGAATTTTTTTTTGAGATTTATTTTTATTGGAAAGTCAGATATACAAAGAGGAGGAGATGCAGAGAGAGAGAAATCTTCCATCCAATGATTCACTCCCCAAATGACCGCAACGGCCAGTGCTGTGCCGATCCAAAGCCAGGAGCCAGGAACTTCTTCCAGGTCTCCACATGGGTGCAGCGTCCTAAGGCTTTGGGCCGTCCTCGACTGCTTTCCCAGGCCACAAGCAGGGAACTGGATGGGAAGTGGAGCTGCCGGGGTTAGAACCGGCGCCCAAATGGAATCCCAGTGTGTTCAAGGTGAGGACTTTAGCTGCTAGGCCACGCCACTGGGCCTCTATATACGAGAATCTTAAGGATCTCTTCTGTTTTGCTACTTTGGGATGGGATATATTTATTTTTGTTTGTGGTAAGATTTATTTTTATTGGAAAGAGAAGGAGAGACTGAAAGAACTTCTGTCTGCTGGTTTACTCCCCAAGTGGCCACTACGGCCAAAGCTGAGCAAATCTGAAACCAGGAGCTTCTTCTGGGTCTCCCACACTGGTGCAGGATCTCAAGGCTTTGGGCCGTCCTCACTGCTTTCCCAGGGTACCAGCAGGGAGCTGGACGCGAAGTGGAGCAGCTGGGACACAAACCAGCACTCATGTGGGACCCCAGCACTTGTAAGACGAAGATTTAGCCACTAGGCTATTGCACTGTGCCCTAAGTTTATTCTCAACAGCAATATATGGTTAATAGCACAGTTATCAACTAGTGCTTTTTGGTTAAGTGAAGCATTTCTAAATTTTAATCCATTATTTAGTAAAAACTAAGCTCAAAATTTTTCCTAAATCTCTAGAGTAATTGCTTTACATGTTTCTTCTGTTTTCATTAGTTATCTTTTTGTGGCTTTTTTTGGTTTTGTTTGTGCGTCTTTCAGGAGCAGAAAGGGCCATCCCTCAGGTTGACTCCACAGTGGCCACGTCTGGACTAATGCTGAACCCCGGGGCCCGAACCCGATGCAGGGTTCCTACCGACAAATTTCTTGAGTTGTCCCCTTTTGCCCCCTGGGGTCTACACTGGCAGGAACCTAGCATTGAGACTTAGACTGAAGAAGCAAATCCACTCAGTTTAACGTGGACCAGGCTCTCTCAGGGCGAGGCCCAATGCATGTCCTTGCGATTGATTCACTAGGATGTTACCTGAATGGTGTTTCTGCCATGAAGAGACTAAAGGTTAGATTTGCCAACCCTGGTACTCAATGTTGAATCAAACTGGTTAGTCTAAACGTAACGTTCCTCTCATGTTTGTGCTGCACTGATGATAGGGAGGGGTGCCGATAGGTGAGGAGGAGGAGGTGCTTGTGGAACTGGGCAGAGTGTGGTGAACAATGCAGAACAATGACTTCAGATTACTCAGTATGGTTGACTGTGCTTAGTAAAAGACATCGTGGGGTGATCTCAGATCCCAGGCTAGGAAAGGCTCATTTAAAATGTTGCTGAGAAATTCTCCAATTACCAAACATACCCTGTATGATTTAAATGTGGTGGGGGGCATATAAAACATTTAGAACTTTGTGGAAACTGTATTTGTATGACTGAGAGAGCAAGAGGCAGACTGAGAATACATGCCGTGTTCTGGAAGTGAGTCACATGGAGCTATCCTCAGGATGCCCCGCCTCCTGGGCAACGCGCATGCTCTGTGGCATCGCTGCAGCTCAACACGCTGCTGCGCTTCCAGACGGGGCAAGGGTCACAATAAAAAAACCACTGCTTAACTTTTATTGCCACTTTGAATAGTATCTAGAAGCTTGAAGGATCTTGTCATTTTAGAGTGACCATGAAACTAGCTCTGACCACAGTGACTCGGAGTGAACGGACTTCTGCATTGCTCTTCAGTTGGGTTGTCGCTCCAAAATAGTTTCTGATTATAGTTAAGAACCGGGTGCGATTTTTATTTGGTTTTTAAAAGGAAGATCTCATTTCCCGTGTGCAAAGAGCTGTTGAACAAAATGGAAGAGTGGCTAAGAAGCTGTACGTGGTTCCTGTAAGTTGGAGACCTGTAAGCTTTCTCTGTGGCGTCTTGGTCTTGGGACCCTGCACTGCCGGTCTCACACGCTGCAGGCCCCATGCCGTCCTCCGTCCCGGCTCCTCCAGGAGAAGCCAGCAAAGCACCACCTAAAGGGGAGTAGTTTACCTTTCCGGTTAACTTGCTGATGTTGACAACCTACACAGGAGAGTTCGAAGAAGCCGGACTGGTTTCTACTGAAGTAGCAAACACGTGTTCCAAAAGCCCGAGCTGAGACTTGAGTGGCAGTGCCCTTCAGAGCGAGCAGACCTGTCCGTGATCCGGCCACTGCCAGGGCTGCCCTTGGCTGTCACCTGAGGCCTGCAGAGCCTTTCCTGCCCGTCCCTCCTGCCAGTGTGGCATGGGAAGGGACAGTGCAAGACCGAGCTTAGGCCTCACATGAGTGTCTTCGCAGTCGACTAAACACTGATTGTCTTCATAAAAGGAAGACTACTGAGTGCAGCAACTGGATGACTTGAGGCTTTTCCACCTAATGTGATTTCTTTTTTGCAATTATCAGCTGCTTTCGTGTAATAACTGACCTTGTTAGAAGGCAGTTACGAATTAATTGAACATGTTAACAGATGTCCTGAAAACATTCTCCAACTAAAAGAAAATACCGTTGGTAAACTGCAAAAATGGCATCTTTTTAGAAAATGTAGCATTCGTTTCTTCCAGCAGAGTGCAATTGTTTGATACAAGCACACAGCACATTTGCTCAAAAAAGTACATTTTGTAATGCATTAATTTTGGAGACTCTCAAGATTAGGATCAATTTTAATGAATCCTGTGGTCCTTGTTTTATAATGCATGCTCTACAGTCAGTTACCTAACTAGATGTGAATAAATTGAAGTTACTGCGAAGTAGGGGAAGAATTAGAAATAACAAAAAGAGAGAATATACTTACAAATGAATCCCCAAGTATTTTGTTGCATATCTCTTTGGAATTGATACTAAAAATGTGACCCTCACTCTTACCTGTCAAAGCTGGGTAATGCCAGTGCCTTGTTTCACAATGGAAACTTGAATTTCACAGTCTGCCCTTTTTTTATAATGTTCCCTATGCTCAGGGACTGGCCCTTCCATCCTCCCCATTCCTTGATTTCCTCTGTAATATTACAGTAGTACAGTCGGGTTTAGTCTATAAAATGAAAAAGACAAGTAGTGCAAGTGGGAAGTTGTCTTGAACACATTTTAATTGAATGATTTACACTAATGATGCTTTTGCTTATTTTCTCAAAAAGGCAAAGGAGGCATTAGAAAGCCATCCAAGATTAAACTCTGTAGGGTTCTAGGGGATGGAAAAATATACGCCTCACAGTTCGTGAGTGGCCTCTCAGGAAAGAAAAGTAGGTTAGCAAGTGAAGCGTACAAAATTCCTGTGCCTCACCCTGAACTGGTGCTCAGCATGCCATTTGTGCCACCAGCAGGAGTGTTGATTGCAGGGAGAAGGGCTGAGTGGGCAAGGTCTGATGCCATGCAGAGCTGTGGGTCTCATCAGTGAGCGTTGATGTTCTGAGATGGACTCCATGACTAGGGAGACTGGCCGTGGAAGGCTCCCTGTCCTGAAGGGACCTGGGTTCATTGGGTCCCGCCGGAGCTGCAGAGGCACCCCACACCCTCCAAGGGAGCATCAGTCCTGTTCTCTGCTCCCCCAGGAAGCTCCGTGCTCAGTCCTACCTTAGGCCAGGGCAAAGAGAGCTCAGCAGTGAGCACCTTTTCAACCAGTGCCCAAGTAAGAAACCAGTGTGGAGGTGTGCAGTACCGTCACCTGTAGAAGCCTGCCCTTGAGCAGGTAGGCAGTGAGCTGGCCAGGAGGCCGTTTAATGCAAAGAACGGGTGTGGGAGGTGCTAGCATACCGTCATGAGGTCTTTTTGTGTTTGTTGTGCTACTGGGAACAAGGCTGTGCCAAGGAGAACGTGCCTTGTTGCCACGATTTCCTGCCAGGGGCCTGAGCAGTAGGATTGTGTGCACAGCCGCCGTTTACCATTTCTTCTGGCAGCAGGCTGCATAAAGCTGTGGTTTGGCCCTGCCGAAGCAGTCTCGAGCACAACTCAAGATGCAGTGAATCTGTAACAGGTTGTTCTGGTGATTGAGTTGATCATGTGTGGTCTACAAGTGATGCTGTAAATATCAAAATGGTCCTTGGCAGAAAACAGGTTTCCATCTCTGTAATGGGGCTGAAACTGAAGCCCAGAAATTCCAAAGGGAAATGTAGGTCATTTGTCCTGAAAGGATGCTATGTGAATGGCTTTAGAGATGAAAGTAACATGAGAAACGTTTGCCTTGTGGCACAGCAGGTTAAGGCACTTGCAGTATCAGAGTGGAGGCAGGAGTCTTGAGCTTGTCGGCTTCTGATCCAGCTGCCTGCTGATGACCTGGGAAAGCAAAGGAAGATGGGCTCAGTGCGTGGGCCCCTCTGTCACCCACATTAGAGACCCAGA